AACCTCAGCAACTTTAAGATGTGTGGACTTCAACTCCCAGAATTCCCCAGCCAGCATGCATCTACATGTCTTAATGTTTAATGTCAAAGTCCACACATCTTAATGTTGCTGAGGTTGAGAAACACTGGGTTAGAGCATTACTAAATTAATAAAATTAAAGCCTGTCTTGTTTTTAGAGAACCTTCATTTTATCATTTTCTTCTAAATCAAATGTGATACCACCACCACCACCACCCCTTTCTTCTAAAGCCATATAGCTATTTCTTGCCTAGTCATGATAATCATAGGATGGGCAGTGTCAGCCCTTTGAGATAGGCTAGGTCAGGAAACAAACACCATAAAGATTACAGGAAATGTTCCTTTATTGTTGTAGGGTATAGTGAAATGGGTGGCATACAAATTTGAATTATTAATTAATTAATTAAATGAAAGAAAGAAAGAAACCAAAACTTCAAAGTCCATCAGAATTTCCCTGCCCCTTATACCCAACAAAATCAAGGTGGGGTTATGCTGAATTTCTTTCTTATACTTTATACTTTCTCAGGACTGAGTTGTCATTTTTTCCTTAATGGCTCATCCATTCCTTCATCAAGGTTATCTCCTCATTCTTCTATATTTCCCCAAGGACAGCTCTGCATTCCTTTGATTGTGTGCCATCAAGTCATTGTCAAATCTTAGCGACCACATAGCTAGATTTTCTCCATGATGATCTGTCCCTAACCTGGTCTCTAATCTACATTCTCTTACAGAGAGAGAGAATTGAAGAAAGGAGTCCCATAAACAAGGCTCTGAGCTATCCAGGCATTTATTGGTGATACTTGAACTGTTCCTGGAAGTCCACTGATAACTTGCATGTTGTGGTCTCAGATCGAATTGTCCTCTCTCCCTGAAGGCAGATAATAATCTCTGATGCAGCTACAGGATAGAAACAGGATAAGAAGAGCATTATTGCTTTTGAACTCAGTTACAGTGGAGATGGGGCACCATTGGAAGACCTGGTCTGGTTAGGGACAGATTTTCATGGAGAAAATCTATCTAGGTGGTCGCTGAGAGTCAACACTGACTAGATGGCAGAGAAACAATCAGTCAACGCAGCTACAACTCATGAAATTAACATAATACGGTTAAGCTGTATAAAAAATCAGCTAGTCTTTGAGCAGCTGGAGGGATAGAATAACATAAAATCACACATCTGTCCAATGGTGTGAGATGCTAAAGTCATCGCAAACCAAGATTTAAATTATTTTACACTGCAGAAGAAAGTTGAAATCCAGTATATTAGAGAACAGGTTATCCATTCAATTAAGTATACTGCCAATGTCTGAACGGCATCCTGTAGTTCGCTGGGCTAGATATTTATGTCCGAATAAATTTATTTGAAATCAACCTCACTGCTGAAACCATAACACGATGCAGGCTGCTTTGTTGGTGGTGTCTCTTGATTTTGCTTTGACCGAGAATACATTTAGCGGCGCTCAGCTGGTTGAAACATTTTCAGCTGTAACTTCCCTAGCTCCCTTTTATGAAATGCATTGCTGCACGTTTCAAGCTTTCTCTTTCCTCCTTTTACACAAAAGGACATTAAACTTTTGTGGTTTGGAACAGCTGGCAACCTCCAGCTACATCTGAATACAGAAAACGGTGGTTTTCAGAGCCAGGCTAATTATCAATTTCGAAATGGCTATTCCTTCCAAAAAGTTTTAAATTGTTTTGCCTCGCACATGAAGGGGCTGTGCATTTAAATACAACAGTAGTGTACTTTAATAGTGGAAAATCATGGCTTTTCGTGAGATCCCAAGAAGGACACCTAATTTGAGGCTTAGAAAGTTTTGAAACTGGAAAAGATCCAAAGTTTATTGATAGGCAGCGACTCTAATTCAATTTATGTTTGGATCTTATTTGTTGCAGTATTGAAAAACAAATGCTTGTGGAAATCATCAAGCTGGCATGCAACAGTAGCAATTAAAGAAAAGTCGTAAAACAAGAAGCCAACTGCAAGTTATTTATAAGTTAAATTTAAAAAGTAGGTTGATCTGATTTTGCTGTTTAGCATTTCTTCTTAAATAAAAAAAGTAGGTTGATCTGATTTTGCTGTTTAGCATTTCTTCTTAAATGAAAAAAGTAGGTTGACCTGATTTTGCTGTTTAGCATTTCTTCTTCTGGGAGGAAGAAGCTAGAAGAATCGAAACTATCATTTCAATTACCCTAACTTCCCCCCCCACACACACACTTTTTTTTACTATACCAAAATCATTGTTTGAAGACTTAAGAAAAGCACCAAAAGCCGGTGCATTAGAAATGAACAGAATAGAAAGGAAAAATAAGGGATGAAGGATGGGACATGGGGCAAGTTACTTCTTAGACATCTGCTAATTCCATTTTTATAATAATTAAAGGCCATAATTAATATCAGAGTTAAGATACATGTCTATAGGTCCTTATGATCTATTCAACAACCATTCATGTTATTACATTTTTAGATCACTTAATTAGAATCAGAATAATTAATCCTATTATTCCTTAATCCTTTTTTTCCAGATCTTGTTAGAGAACTGTCCTTGGATATGTACACTTTTCCCTTGAAAACTGGCCAGTGAAAGTCAGCAAGAAACAGTTTCCAATTCTGTTCCTTGCCTTTCTTTCAAAAGAGCAGTGTTTAATCCATTTCACTATTCTTATTCCCTTAGCCATGGGCATTCCCTAAAATGCAAATAGTTAAGGTAGAAGTCCCTTGATATAGCTAGATTGGCAGCACTTAGTCAACATTGGCTGATCTCAAAAAGCTAAGCAGAACCAGAGCTGATTAGTACCCAGATGGGTGTTGACACTGGATAAAACTCAGAGGT